TTTTTATTTTGATGTAGTCCCATTTGTTTATTTTCTCTTTAGTTTCCATTGCCCTAGGAGCAGTATCAGAGAAGAAATTCCTTCGGCATATGTTTGCTATTTCATTGCCTGTGGATTCCACTAGTAATTTTATGGTTTCCCATCTTACGTTTAAGTCCTTTATCCATTTTGAGTTTATTTTTGTGTATGGTGTGAGTTGGTGGTCTAGTTTCATCTTTTTACATGTATCTGTCCAATTTTCCCAACACCATTTATTAAATTAGAGAAAAAGCCAATAGCCAATGAATCAGTACTGTGTGTGTGAGCTTGGGATGGAGGGAGAGGTGTTAATCCATTCTGGTCAATATGTGTGACTGGGGCAGAGAATCCTCAAACATGAGTCTCTATGTTTCACAGGGGATTCTTCACACATCGTGATCAAAGATATATGATTGAGCCTCTGAAAAACACAGACCAAGAAGAACATGCTGTCCTGACATATAACCAGGAGGAGCCAGACCCGGCTAACCACACCTGTGGAGTAAAAAATGTTGGCAGAAGATACGGCCGCATTCGGACCTCTAGGTCACTCAGTAGCTCAGAGGTAAGTGTAGCTTTCCTATGTCATCATTTATTTCGGTTGGCTCGGCAATGATATGTCACAGACTGTTGTGCTCAGCAATGATGGTACAGGGAAAACCTATAATTTATTTACTTATTCATCAATTTACTTTTCCTCTGAAGAAAAAATAAACCTCTTTGTAAGCGTTTCAAACTTTTAGGATAAAGATAATTATTAACAATGTTCTTTTACTCTTTGTAAAGCAAGAATACTTTCTTCGGGCTGAGAAATACATTGATCTCTTTTTGGTGCTGGATAAAGCCTTTGTGAGTATGAAATATGTGTGCTTCTTGTCAAGTTAAGCCAACTTTTAAGTTTTCTTATCAGCAAACACAAATAGTAAACTATTCTGGCTGAAAATGCGGAGCTTGCCTCCTGATTTTCTTATCTATTCTACCTGTCTTGCCAACAACAGTTTTTGCTCATCCACCCCTTTAATATCCAAACTAGTCATATATTAGAAATATTCTTAATACCAGATACCTACAGGAGATCAAGCACAATACTGAAAAAAATTGAATGGGTTATTAAAATATTTTTAAATTCTTACTATATTTTGTAAATATAAAGTAGACACAAAATTATACTTTACAAGTTACATTTATATATTCAAAAATACCAGAATCAGTGCTTCTAACTAGTAAGTACTACTTTATAATCAAATTTTAATAATATTAAATTGGTTTAAAACATTTAAATCATTAATTTGTTTTATCCAATGTAAAAATGACAGAAACTAAAATTTTACATCAATGCCTAATTTTTATCTTACCAAGAAAATCTTACATTTGAAATACAATTTGTTGAAATACAGAATCTTATATAAGGTAGATATGGAATAAATGTACATTTGTTTACATTAAAATGTGTAATTTTTCTTAAAATGTGTACTTCTATATTTCATCAACTTTCTCATATAGTTTGAAAGTTTAATTATACTTTGTATTTTGTATTTTACAGTATAACATGTATAAGGGAAATCTAACTTCCATAAGAAGCTTTGTGTTTGATGTGATGAATCTACTCAATGTGGTAAGATATTTGTCCTGTAAACATGTGATTCCACATTGGGGCCTGGGGCTCCCCTCTGGTTTCACCAAGTAAGGAGTTGGGAGGGTCACAATGGTTTAAGGTCAGCAGTTTTGGGAACTTTAGCAGAGTTAAATCATATATATTGTAGTAAAGGCAACTTTGAGAATTTTATTTTCAAAATGAGTTACATTTAGCCCTGACCATCAGCCTGCAGACTCAAGGGTCCCAGGTTCAATTCCGGTTAAGGGCATGTACCTTGGTTGCGAGCTCATCCCCAGTGGTGGGTGAGCAGGAGGCAGCTGATTGATGTTTCTCTCTCATTGATGTTTCTAACTCTCTATCCCTCTCCCTTTATTTCTGTAAAAAAATCAATAAAATATATTTAAAAAAATGAGTTACATCTATCCATCACTTGTGGTCAGCAAAGGATCTAAAACATTAAAGAAATCTCAAAATTTTTAGAAGAAAAATGCTCTTTCCACAGATTTATAACACCATAGACATTCAAGTGGCCTTGGTAGGTATGGAAATCTGGTCTGATGGTGATAAGATAAAGGTTGAACCCAACACAGGCGTCACCTTTAACAACTTTTTGAATTGGCATCGTTCCAACTTGGGGAAAATGAAGACCCATGACCATGCTCAGCTACTCAGGTGAGCATATGCTGACCAAGGCCAGGCATAGGTAGGTAGAGCAGATAATTATCCCAAAGGTTTCTTGGCAGAGTTTACTGTTCAGTTACATAACCCCAACCATTTATCAGAGAGTTTGAAGTTCTATCCTTAGCAATTCACTTGTGAAATTATTAGACCTGTGTCAGATCATTAAAATTGATTCTTGGATGTGGAACAAGCATTATAATTCTAGGGAATAAGTTCTGGGATAAACTAAAGAACTTATATACTTATATGCCCATGGACACAGGCAATAAGGTAGTGAAAAGCTGGGGGCAGGTAGGAGCTGGGAGGAGATGGGTAAAGGGGGGGAGACAATGGGAGATATCCGTAATACTATCAACAATAAAAAAATAGATATTAAAAAATAATTCTATGGAATAGGATAAGCTTTTCTGGGCCCTAGTAAATATAAAAAGGTAGGATAACAATGGAAATCTAAAACGGAACTGACAACAGCTAATGGTTCTAAAGACTCACATTGTGACAGTGTACCTGTAACTCTCATACAGTGGAATTGCCTTCAACAATCGACGTGTAGGAATGGCAAACGCAAACTCCTTGTGTTCCCCAACTTCAGTTGCTGTTATTGAGGTTTGTAAACCTACAGTAAAGTTCTCTGTGGTCTTATATCCTCTATGAGGACCAGCATAATGCCTTACATGAATTTTGTACAATGGGCATTTGCTGAGCCAGTAAATAAAGGTAGAAATAAAACTCTTGGTAATCCTTGGTCCTTGGGTGACAGAACAGAATATTTCCTTACATTGGCTCTCCCAGAAGGCTTACCGCTTCAGTTGGTATTAGGAAGTAAGAGCGGGACTATTAGGAGAGAAAGGGAATTCAGTTGTTCTCTGCGGCCTGAAAGTACTGACGGCCAGAGAGGTCAGGCAAGGTGCATGTTGGTGGGATTGGCCAAGCACTACCGATGTCAATAGTTTTTGGAGGCCTCTGGATACATAGAATGGTATCTTTCAGTAGTTCCTATGAAGCATGTATTAATATAACCATAGTTTACTGAGAAGTTATCATTAGTTCAGTAAATGTTTATTAAGAACTGACTCAATGGTTGAAATGAATATCTGAGGTGAGACCTTGTCACCCTTCAGGAAAAAATACATATGTTTCTTAAATCTTAAAGAATTCAGATGTAGTCTCTATAATTGGATGGGCCTATTTTTTTATGTGTGTGTATGTTGTTGTTGTTTTTTTTGTTTGTTTGTTTTGTTTTTTGTTTTTTTTTTACAAATGGCTGTGCATCCCATTAATTCACCCTCAGGCCTCTTGATGCACAAGTTTTATCAGCTATTAAGGCTCATTATTTAACATTTTCAAATATACCAAGTTAGAGCATAAGTATGGTGACTATGTTACTTTAACTTTAAATAATATATTTCCAAAAATATGTATCTAATTGAGATGATTACAATTATCTTCATCACTAATCAATCCATTTTTTTCTGTTATTAATTACCTTCTGGTACCAGATGCTTGCAAGGACTTGGGATTTTAAAAAAATGAATAAAACTAACTCTTGAATATAGAACATGGAAGTCTGCAATTACTTCCTTCCATTAGGTTATTATTATCACTTACTTCTCAGGGCTCAGTGGCTAAATAAGCCAAAGATAACAAATGGTGAAGCTCCTGCCAATTAGTACAGTACTGAATCCAGGCTGGAATTTAAATTACTCTAGCGCTATTAACTGAGTGTCTAGCAAAACAGTTTTCCAACCAGAATAGCAGCATGCTCTGTCACCTTCTGCATATAACACAGCACAGGCCTAAACAGATACTAAATTTGGAGTTTCCATTGAGTTTCAGACAAGTCAGGTTCTCATGTTCATGTGTCACAATATGTCATGGTATCCCTGATTGTTTTCTGCTTACAGTTCAAAATTCCCAAAGGATTTCAGTACATTGAGCCGTTCACATTTTGAAAAATACATTTTATCTCAAAAACCAAAGTGCCTGCTGGAAGCACCAATTCCTAAAAATATAATAACAAAACCAGTGTGTGGGAACAAGCTTCTGGAAGTAGGGGAAGCATGCGATTGTGGCTCTCCTAAGGTATGGAAATGTCCATGGTTTCAAAAACTTATTATAGAGTGATTGTGGCATACCTGTTTTCTTCCCTCTTCCTTTTCTAAATAAAAACCAAAAACAAAAAAGGACTTCATGGAAATTTTTTTCTAAAGACAAGTTTGGAATCACAGTAAAAAGAAGATTTGCACTGATTTTAGGCATCTTTTGAAAAGCATTTCAAAAGCCAGGATGTGGTTATGATTGTATGACGTTCAATGACTCTTTAGAGGTAACTTATTAACTATAATATGTCACTTAGAAGCTTTCCTAAATGTATTAGTCAGAAATCCTGTGCCATATAGTCGCAGTTGATTGTCTGTTGACGCATCACAATTCCTCCCCATGGAGAGAGTTGGCTTTCTCTCATCCAGCCAATATGTAAACCAGGAAGTGAATAAAATGGAGAAAAAGAAAAAAGAACAAATTTGTAAAAAATGGATTATTAGCATTGAATGTCTAAGACAATTGCTCTAAGTCTGCTGATGCCTGTAAAATCTGACCCTCTGAGGCATCAGTGGGGAATGTTTGGTAGAACGTTTGCCAGCATCCCAGGCGAGGTTTCTAAAGGAGAGCATTCCGGTGGTGTTTTCTGGTTGTTGTTGTGGGTTTTTGCTTTGTTTTTTAGCAATCTCTTACTTTTAAGACTAAAAACATGAGTTAATATTTGAAGAGATTTTCCACGTGTCAGCCTCCACAATGCTTTCATATGTACTTCACCGCCTTCATTACTCACAACAAGCCTATGAATCCAGCAAACCTACTAACTAGGTTTTGCTGTGACCCCAAATTAGAGAAGAAGCAGTGAGGCTCAGAAAAGCTGAGTAACTCATTCCAAGGCTACAAAACTAATCATTCGCCCACTGCAATGCAAGATTTTCCCATTACTTTAAGGGGTTTTATTCAAAAGGGGAAGGCACAAACTCTCTCTGTGCTTCAGCGTATTCAGTCAGAAATGTCAAGCTGTTGAATTATATTAGGAGATTACATAGAATAACTTAATCATGTATAACAAATATACCAAATATTTTATTAATTGTAATTAGATATGGATTGTTAAAGTGATTGCTTCAACTCCCATATGGTTGCTCAAGCAAGACAACCAAAGTTGTTCATAACCCTAGGTACTTCTAATTGCAAATGGCATACATAGTATATATACTTTATATAGTACCCTTAGTGAAAAATCCAGTTTCTCATGATCCAATGTGCCATTTGTTTTTTATATACATATTTAAGTGTTTTCTAGGTTTTAAAAGTAATCATTCTATCTGTATATATATCATACCACAAGCATCATGCTATTTTATGATTGTAACATACAATGCATTTTAATATCTTTTACAGTAACTCTCTTCATATCTATCATCTCTCTACCATCTATCCATACAGAATTTGCATAGCAAGTCTTTAATGTTAGTTTTTCCATATTACGCTTAGTATTCTTTTTGTCAGTTTGCCCACAAATACAACTCAGATTCAGATTGAAATGCATTAAATTCATATTTCACTCTAAAGGCCACTGGCATTTCACAGTATTAAGTATTGTCTTAAAAGACAATTTGCCTGGAAAGTTCCTCAGAAAAGTTATATATAAAGTTCTCCATGTAATTCTGGCACATTTTGAAGGTTTATTCTAAAGTATTTTGTTTTTTGTTGTTGTTATTATTAGTATGTGTAAAGTTTTTTTTTAATTTTTGGTTCTAATTTATTATGACTGTTTATGTTATTTGATTATTATCTTAAATAGCTAACATAGTGACTTACCCAATATTTTTAGAGTTGAACATATGTTTTTTTCCAGGTAAGAATTTTATGACATACAAATAGTGAAAATGTGATTTACACCACCCAATTATTACACTTTTATATCTTTTTCTTGTCTCATAACATGTACCACAATTTCCATATAAATATAGACTATAAATAATCCTTGTCTTATTCTTTATTTTATTGGATATATTTGTTATATATCAGATAGATTTTCTTCATCACGATGACACAGAATTCTGTTCACGGTTTTTTTTGTATGTTTAAATAATGCAATAATGCTTACTGAATTTTTACCAACTAATTTTTGCCATCTATCACAATAACAGTTTTTTTCTTTCTAAGTCTCTTAACGCGAATAATTATGTTACTCTATTCTGTGCAGTTAAGACACCCTTGCATTTGGTGAAAAAAAACAAAACAACAACTACATAGTTGTAATTGAGAGTTATTATATTAATAAAATGATGCTTAACTAAGTTTTATTCAAGTTTCTTTTTGGATTTATATCCATAAATGAGAATAGCACGCACGTGTATGTGTGTGTATGAATTAATTACCAGTTCTCGTGATCAGAATTATGCAATCTCGGTAAAACAAATTGAAGATTTAAAAGAAAAAAAAAAACTACATAGTTGTAATTGAGAGTTATTATATTAATAAAATGATGCTTAACTAAGTTTTATTCAAGTTTCTTTTTGGATTTATATCCATAAATGAGAATAGCACGCACGTGTATGTGTGTGTATGAATTAATTACCAGTTCTCGTGATCAGAATTATGCAATCTCGGTAAAACAAATTGAAGATTTAAAATATTTTTTCTCTATTTTCAGTTTTTATAGCATAGAAATATTCTCCCATGAAGTTTTAAATTAATTTACATGATATCACCTAGGACACATTTATTTGGGGGTCATTCTTGAATAATTCAATTTTTGTCCTTTTAAGAGCTAGTTTCTAATCCTCTTAAATTTTTTGTAATTCTTAATTTTTTAAAATCTTTATTGTTGAAAGTGTCCCCTTTTCCTCCCATTGACTCCTACTAGACCGACCCATTACCCCAGGCCTTTACCACTTGTATAGCGGAATAATTTAGTTTAAAAAGTGAAATGTTATTGCCATCCTGTGCCAGAATCTCACAGAGAAAAATGCTGAGCCCGCTTTCCATTGGGTGTGCTTTACAGGAATGCGCCGATCCTTCCTGTGAGGCCATGACCTGCACGTTGAAACCTGCCGCCGACGCTGATGGTGGAGAAGAGACTCTGGTGTAAGACCTTTATTTTCTTTCTTTATTGTCAAATATTTTCTCACTTTTATTTTGTATTTAAGAAAGATGTGACACTGAGTTCTATAACATATTAAAACAGAATTTTTTACCATTAAAAATGACAGCACCAAGAAAGATTTTAAAATAAGCCATCATTATGAACTGTTTAACATACTGCTGAGAAAATGGCTACTTTGTCATCTATGAGATTAGGACTGCTGAAATATGTGCTAAAAATTGTTTACATTTCTGTTAGGTAGTGATGAGCTTAATGTTAGCTAAGGTAAGAGAAGAAATATTCATTTTATTTTAATTAACTTTATTGGGGTGTCATGGGTTAATAAGATCACATAGGTTTCAAGTGTACATTTCTATGATACGTGATCTATATGTTGCATTGTGTGCCGATGCCAAAGGCAAATCATCTTTGGTCACCAAACATTTGGGCCCTTTCCTCCTGGTAACCACCAGACTGCTGTCTGTGTCTATGAGTTTCCGTTTTATATCCCACATAGGAGTGAAATCATATAGTTCTTAGCATTTTCTGACCGGCTTCTTTCGTTTAGCATAATATTCTCAAGGTCCATCCATGTTGTTGCAAATGGCAGTTTTTCATCTTTTCTACAGCTGAGTAGTATTCCATAGCATATCTTATTTTTCCCATCCTCTATCAAAGGACACTTTGGTTGTCTCCATGTCTTGGCTGCCATGAATAATGCTGCAGTAAACATAGGGGTGCATATATCTTTGTAAATAAATGTTTTCAAGTTTTTGGGGGTAAGTACCCAGAAGAAGGATTGCTGGATCATATTAAAAAGTTCATATAAAAAAAAGCCCTGATTGATGAGCAAATTTATTCTTGGTTAAGAGCTGATAGTTGTAATTTGTGAGGAAGTCAGGAAATCAATAAAATTTTAAAAAACATTGTAAGATTTGATAATTTTATTTCTTTTTAAAAATTTTATTTTATTTTTATTTTTTATTATAGTTGATATATATTAGGGTATTACATATGTGTCCCTTTTTTCCCCCCGCCCTTGGCAATCCCCTGGCCTCTCCTACCCCTCTATTCACTTTCAAGCAAAAGCAAATATGATTGTGATTCAGGGTCTTGGGAATAAGCAGGGTGTGGAAAGATGCGCAGAGTGTTCTAAAAAACAGAAATAGGAAAAGAAAAGGCCAATTCCATTTAACATTTCACCTAATATATTTTCAAAACATCTG